TAAAAAGAGGGGTAACGAAGTTAGGAAAGTTAAAAAAAAATTTTTTTTAAAGGGAGGACGTCAAAGTTAGAAAAATAAAAAATTTTTTATAAAGAGGAAATAGAAATAGAAAGAAGAAATTTTTTTTTTTAAAAAAAAAGAGTGGGAATAAAAGAAAATATTTTTTTTTAAGGGACGAAAAAAAATTTTTTTTAAAGTGAGGTACGAAACAAAAAATTATTTTTAAAAGGGGGTGACGAAGAAAGAAGAAAAATTTAGAAAAAATAACAAAAATAAGATAAGAGAAAGAGAAAGGAAAGGAAAGACAGAAAAGAAGATCGGTAGATCAAACTCATCAAAGTAAGGGTTTATATAAAAAACAAAAAACGTATCATAACAAAACAATAAACAATCATATGATCTCGTGTTATGATACGGATTTTTGTAAAATTATCTTCTAAAAATATTAAGTTTAAAAATTCCGTATACATTCCGCATGATTAATTTTTTCCGTATACATTTCTTATACATTAGTTTTTTTAAAAAATGTTCAAAAATGAATTGCTTATTAAATATACGGAATTTGTATGCGGAATCTATAGAAACGTACAAAAAATGTATACAAAATGTATCCTTTCCGTATACATATTTCTTATAGGGAGTAATAATAAGAGTTTTTCTGTGTACATAGTTGTACTTAATTTGGTCATGAGTACTAACAGACTAGTCAATTTAGTTTAGAATAATCAATTATAGGGGCGAAAGAGATGAGTTTTTAAGAAATTACTGAAATGTTTACTTGCTAAGAAAAAGCCATTTCCTTAATAGTAAATTCGTTGCAAACAAAAAATTCTTTGATATTATTTTATTGAATTGTATTGGTATTAATAAAATTTGTACTTTTATTGTATTCTCTTACTTTGGAAGAATTTGCAATTTAATTTTATGATGAATATTAAAAATTTAAGAACTATATAAGATTGATCTTATGAGCATCACTTTTGAAATTAATTTTATTGGTAAGCAAATGTAATTTATTAATTGTACTCTGTATGTGATTAGAAAGTATCTAAATATCTACTGTATAACTTAAGTTATCAATAATACTACTGATTTTTTAAAATAAATTAGAAAATAAAAATTTTTCTAATAGGATTGCATTAACAAATAAAGAAATAATTGTATGACTATAACAGATAAATAATTTTTTTTTGGATTTTTTCCAATAATTACTATTTAGTTTGAATAAAAAGTGAAATTTTATTCAGGATAATATTCTTTTTAAATTTGTGATTTTAACCTGAAAAAAAAAGAAATAATATTATTGAAATTTGAAATTGGGTTAATAATTTTAATATACATAAAATACATTTGACACAAACAGTCAATTTTTTGATAGACTGCATATGATTATTAAAATTTATAATTAAATGTTATTATTATTATTGTTGTTGTTATTATATTTACTTGGTTTTATAATTTAATAAAATGAAATCCTAATATTTAATCCTATAAAAAAATTTATCCAAACACTTTATTATATTCTGCATAAAAAGGTTACGATATTTTTATACAAATTGGCTAAAAAAATAAATGAGAGAAGCTTCAATAAATTTTAATAGGGTGACAAATACATGGATAGTTCAAATTTAATATCTTTTATATTATGACAGTATTTTAAATCTTGTTACTATGTTTAATGTACTAAGTAAATGAATTTTAGAAACAAGTTTAGCTAATGTATAATTTTCCAGTTTCTTAAAGGTTATAAATTATGTATTGTGCATATTTTCTTTTTTTATTTCGAAAGTTAGGATTCTTAACATTAATAATATCTTTTTTTTTTTTAAAAAAAAAGATATTTTAAATTTATTGTACAGATCTTTAAAATAAAGAAACACTATTTAAAAAAATAAACATTTTCATAAAAGTTATTCTTTATCAAAGCAAAGTACATAATTATTTTCTTTATTAATTACACAATATACCATACCAATAGCTATAACTTTACACCCACATTTTTTAAACTTAAATATAGTAAACCAAGACTAATTTAATTTCTTAGTATCGCAATTTTTAATAAGAAAAAATGTTCATTCCATTTGATACAAACCGTTTTACTCATAAAATATATAGTGTTATTTTCTAGATTATAATCACCTCAACTGGTTTATAATCAATAAAGACATTGAGGTTAAAATAAAATAAAATAATATTGTCTCGTTAAGAATTTTTTTTGGTTATGTAATACTACTGCTTATGAAAGATGCATTAAAACAAAAGGGAATTATTTTTGCAAAATATACAAAAACAAACTTGATGAATTTTTATATAAACTTTTATAAGTCATATTTTTTTATTTGATTTTTATTTAAATATTTTTGTTAATATACTTTTGTGATCTATTTATAATTTGTCGTCGTCAAAATTATTATGAATTCAGTTAAATTCGTATGTGTAACACGTGATAAATTATCAAAGTTTATAATGTTATGGATTTAGGAAACGGATTTAGGAAACCAAATGAAACAATTATTCGGCAAGTCAAAGTGAAAGGAAAACAAAATAAATTATTTGTACTAAACTCATTAATATTTAACTATCGCAACAAACTCTATTAATCATAAAGAAGTTAATGCAAGTAAGAAAAAAAAATTGTATCATTCATTCGGAAAGAATGAGAAACAAAAACTTTATTGAGACAATGAAAAACAATCCTACAGGATCTTTTTAGTCATGGGCGTTACATTTGATGTGTAACACATCATATTCTTATTAATGCATACTAACTATAACAAGTAATGAAGAAAGATAAATAAGTATTCTCAATGATCTTCATAATCATAAAATTATTATTATATTATATATAGTATTTCTAAAGGAGGGCTGTTACATAATTCCCATTTCAATAATTAATGAAACATAATCTCAGAATAATAGTTAATGAATTAGTGAACTCAAAAGTCAAAACCTTACAAATTAAATGATATCTACTAAGGTGGAAATATAGTTAAGTGAAAACTACATAGACTTTTTTTTTTTTATAAAAGAAAAAAAAAATGCTCTGACAAGTTAAATTTCCATGTGACATAACCAAATTGTCAAAGTAGAAGTAAAATTTGTATGGTTATTTAATTTCTGATCAAGAAGTTTAAGTTCAAGTTAAACCATAGTAAGTAATCTTTATAAATTTTGAGGTTCTGCTATGTAAACTCTTCTATCATAAAATTTTTCTTCCTTAACACATCAGTCACTTTAAGAAATTTTTAATGACAGATAAATTAAACAAATATAAACTGATGTATCCACCTTTATTTCTGCCGCACTTTCTAAAACCTTAAA